TGAATGTCAAAATATTCTCATACAGTATGAGAATCATCATCATCCAGTGCCAGACCATGATCGTCGATGTCTGTCGCAGATCTGGCACTGGATGATGATGATTCTCATACTGTACAAAAAGTGGGCCTACATTTAATTTCATTTTCATAAATGTAGGGTCACTTTGGCCATATTCCTTGTATCATTACAACTGCACAGTGTTAGACTTCATCTTACGTCATTTTTCAAAACAGTGTTTAGCAGAATCTTACACACTAAGCAGTGGATTTAATTTTGCTATATTTAAATAATATACAATATATCTTTGACAGGTCGACAAAAGAAATGCATTGTTATTGTAGCTGTGGTTCTGGGCATCTGTTGTTGTCATGGGAAACTAGCAGATGGTGGGGTATTGTTGTTATCGTTGCTTACTGCCGAAGGAAGTAGGGGTCAGGAGGCCCACCTTTCCTATCTGAAAAAAAAAAATGTTTTTGAACGTTGAATAATTCCTGCTTCTCTCTCCACTGGTATTTCAGGCTTTACCCTGCTCTGATCCATTTAGTATGCTGTGTATGCTTCCTGGAAAGCTGAGAATGTTTCTAGGGTCTGATTGGGTAATAACAGGCTTATAGAATATAGATTGAAAAGTGCATAAAGCTTGCTGTTGAATGGGGACATGCGCTCGCTATACAAATGCTATTTTTATTTAATATTTCTCATCATGTCAACAGTCATTTTCAATTTGACATGCAGCATGATCTACTTCTATTTTTCCTTCACAGTCTACAGAACATGGTACTGACCAGCCTGCACCCCAGTTTTGGAAAGAATTCCGTGTACCTGCTGGACTGCCGGGCGTGTGGGGAGACGGTGTGTCGCAGGGGCATGTTGGCCGTGCTGGTGGCAGACGGGAAAACTGAACTCTTCTCTACAGACAGATACGACAGAAGGTGAGATAGAGAATAGGACAGAGAGAATAGGACAGAAGGTGAGATAGAGAATACGACAGAGAGAATAGGACCGAAGGTGAGATAGAGAATACGACAAAAGGTGAGATAGAGAATAGGACAGAAGGTGAGATCGAGAATAGGACAAAAGGTGAGATAGAGAATAGAACAGAAGGTGAGATAGAGAATAGGACAAAAGGTGAGATAGAGAATAGAACAGAAGGTGAGATAGAGAATACGACAGAAGGGGAGACGGAGAATCTGATAGGTATGACAGAGTTTGTTTACAGTAAAGAGAAAATATAAAAATATTAGATATTATGTTACTGATGCTGTTTGATTATGTCTCCCATTGACTGAGAGATGCTGTTTGATCACGTCTCCCGTTGACTAGCAGTAAACAGATTATGCTGACCGTTTGATCATGTCTCCCATTGAGTAACAGATGCTGTTTGATCATGTCTCCCGTTGTCTAACAGTAACAGATTATGCTGACCGTTTGATCATGTCTCCCATTGACTAACAGTAACAGATTATGCTGACAGTTTGATCATGTCTCCCATTGACTAACAGTAACAGATTATGCTGACAGTTTGATCATGTCTGTGGTTGACTATCACATGCTGTTTGATCATGTCTGTGGTTGACTATCACATGCTGTTTGATCATGTCTGTGGTTGACTATCACATGCTGTTTGATCATGTCTGTGGTTGACTATCATATGCTGTTTGATCATGTCTACCTGCTTGTCCTCACCAGCTCTGTGGGCGTGATTCCTGAGGTGTTCACCACGGAAAAGTGCAAGTGCAGGATCCAGCACCTGGGCTGCTTGAGTTGGTCAGTGGGAAACTGTCTGGGTTCAACGCCCCTTTCAACACTGTGTGGGGTTATTTTAAGAGACGCAACCTCCAAATGTATCCTCCATCTCTGATAGGGCTGAGCCAAATGGGTTGAGAGCCTTAGAAACTCTGCTAAAAAAACCCAAGTTCAGAATGCCCTTTTGGGGATTCGAACCAGGGCCATCAACTGCATTTGTCTCTTCCTAATAATTTTTTACTAGTGACTGTCCCATACGGCCTTCTCTCAACACAGATTTCTGTCAGCACTACCTCGTTTTTGCTCAAACTCAAACGTTGGGAACTCCTTAAAGATTAGTGAAGCAAGTGTAAGTGTATGGGTTTAACGCCCCTATCAACATTATTAGATAAGGTTATTGAAGAAGCACGCTCTCCGAATTTAACGTCCGTCTCCGTTAGGACAGAGCCAAATGGGTTGAGAGCTTTGAAAACTCCGCAAAACAACCCGAGCTCAGGAATGTCCAGTCTGGGATTCGAACCAGGGCCGTCCACTCCGTAGTCCAGCATGACATCAACTGAGCTGATGGAGCGTCCTTGGAGAGAAGTTTAGTCTGTTTCTTTTGACTGTGCTTTGTATAAACACATGGCTGTTCTTTTTTTTTTTAAACCACGGTGTTGGAGGAAGGGAGGGGAGGGTGTTGTTGCTTCTTAACTTTTCTGACTCCTCATGGTTGGAGGGCGCCACTGATACCTCCTACTTCCTTTTTTTCTCTGCTTTTTTTGTTTGTCTGTCTGTCTATTTTACATTTTCCCAGCACGTGGCATATGCTGTTCCCCTTTACTGAAACAAACTCTCTCCTCTCTTGATGCGTGGTTCGTTCCTTCTTTCCTATAAAAAATCTATGGTCCTTCTCTTTCCTCCTCCTTTTCTTTGTATGTTACTTTAGTAATTCCTCTAGTCTTAGGCACTTATAAGACCTATTTGTGTTGCAAATGCTGTAAAACTCTTACTATCTGTCTCCCCCGCAGTGGGTGTGTGGTGGGCTACCACGTGGTCCTGCCCTGCAGCAAGTGTCTGTCTTCCATCAACAACGGCCATCACTGTATGTTTCACAGTAGCCTCGTATCCCACTACTACCGCCTGGATGAAGTCGGTAAGTCCTTGTTCTGGGGGGGGGGGGGGGGGGGGGGGGGTTATGTGAGTATTTTTACACCCTTTCAACACAATTTTGAATATTAAGTGGGTGGGCTTCCTACTTTGCCTGTCAGAGCCAAACCAGGCTGAGAGAGATTCAACAGCCCAGCAGAAACGCCGAGATACTCGATAAAAAAAATTTCCCCATTTGTTCGGGAATCAAACTCAGGTCTCCTGCATGCATCTGCGAAGGGCCTAACCATTACATCACAGGCGCTGGTTCTTATTTTCTGATAAATCCAGAAATTTGAATTCCTGAAAGTGTTCAGTTTGCGCTCTACTTGAGGCCAATTGTGGAGAAGATAGTCACGATACATGCACAAGATGATCTGTCAAGTTCCGACTCTCTGCACAAGAATCTTTGCTGAGCCCACCCTGTGGAAACAGTTCAGGGTTTTTCTTTTCCATTGCCAGCTGGCTCCTCTGCATTGTTGTCCTTCTTCTTTTCTTTCCATGGATTGTTTCTATTTTTGTGGGTGGTTGGAGGGTGTCACTTGTAAGTCCTGCTGCTTTTCTTTCCCTCCATTGTTTCTGTCTGTCTTACTTTTCCTCTGCATAAATGGCTGTTATTGTACCAATGTGTTTCTCTTTACTCAAACAAACAGAACAATGCCATGCCTTTTCCCCCCCAGTGTTACTTGGCATAGGTCCTACATCTTTTCTTTCCTCCGTTGTTTCTGTCCATCCTGCGTTCCTCCCACACTAACTGCCAAGTGTTTCGTGGGTGTTCCAGGTGGCGGCTGTCTGCTGTGGCGACAACTCATGGGGCCGCTAGAGGATGCTGTGCCAGCCACCGAGTGTCTCAGGTAGCAGCGGCCGGTGTCTGGTGTGTGATGTGTGGTGTGTGAGTCTGAATGTGTCTCTGGTAGCAACGGCTGGCGTGGGGGTCCTGGATGTGTCTCACCGTGGTCTTGTGTGTCATAGCAGTGTCACGGTGCAAGAGCAGCTGTACGGGCCAACAACATAGTCAGTGAGCCGGCTGGCCCAGTATGGGAGAGATATTGGACACCAAGTGTCATGTGATTGAAGAGAAGAAAAAACAGCTGTGTGGCTCACCGTGCCTGCGTTATATGTCAACCCATAGCTATGTCACTCTCCATGCTGTCTTATATATCTGTCTTTCCACCTCATGTCTGTCTTTCCACCTCATGTCTGTCTTTCCACCTCATGTCTGTGTTTTGCCAGGACTTCAGCACCACAGGTGAACTCCAAACTCTCAAGTTGTTGTTGTTGTTGTTGTTGTTGATTTCAGCGGGAAAGTAGCACGGGTGGTTGGAGGGCGTCCTGGTAGATCCTACTTCTTTTCTCTGCCTTGGATGTTTTTCTGTCCGTCTTTCTTCGTTTTCCCCAGCCAGAAAGCACTGTCATTGTGGCTTCTCTTTGCTCAAGCTCCCAAAAGCCTCCAGTATTGCCAGTTTTGTTGTTGAAGTGACCAGTCCTTGATCCGCTGCTCTGTGCTGACCCCGTTGTTCTTGTGGATTTTTGACAATCATTTTCACAATCCAAAGATTGAGCTAGACAATTGAAACAAGACTTAAACATAGAGAGCAGGTGCCTGTGCTGTACAAACAATGATGATAAAGATCACTTGTGTAGCATCCACTTCCTGGTGGCTACAGGCACTTCACAATTAAATAAGATTTCTATATATATATATACAGCTTACACAGTGATATGTTTCCTGCACACTGGTCCATTCATTGTATAACAATCTTTTCAATATTTATTATTATTAATGGTTAGGATTGAAGTCAATTTTTGTGAACGTTTAAGAACTTCTTAATGATTAGATAGGAAAAGTGTAAAGAAAAGAATTGAGTCTGTGTTGAAATTGTCCAAGACGGCCACCCATTGTCAAGGAGAAAAGTGGTTGTCTTAGACAGGTGGGTGTCTTGAACAGTGTCATTGTATAATATATTCACCTGTACAAACTTGCCACTTCCTCCGGTTTGCACAGGTGATTGTCTTTGAACTTAAGGTGGCCGCTAGAGCAGATTTGACTGTAGGCTACTTATTGTGAGGGAAATTTTGTTTTATGAATAAAAAAGGGAGTTATTATATCGTGTCCCAGTGGGCTTTGCTTAAGATGATGTCATGATGTAGAAAAAAGTATTCAGTTTTGTGACCAAATTTTATTTGCTTTCGGTTTACTGCAGTTTTCGGATTAACCGTGTTCCGTTTCAGCAGACACGCTTGCATATATACTATTTTTTTTCCCCCCACCAAAATGTTGTTGAGGTAGTGGTGATGGTGTCGGTGGTTGCTGCTGCAGTCTTTCAGTGTTATCGTTATATATATAAACAGATTCAGTATTGGAACAAATGTTGTCTTGCCTGTGTGTAGATTCAGTATTGGAAGTAACAGTGTCTTGTGTGTGTGTTGGCTGATATCTGGCAAGTTACTGTGTGTAGATTCAGTATTGGAAGTAACAGTGTCTTGTGTGTGTGTTGGCTGATATCTGGCAAGTTACTGTGTGTAGATTCAGTATTGGAACTACCAGTGTCTTGTGTGTGTGTTGGCTGATATCTGGCAAGTGGATGTGTGTAGATTCAGTATTGGAAGTAACAGTGTCTTGTGTGTGTGTT